CTATCTCTTCCGTACAAATCCAGTCAGCAACAAAAGCTTTTCTTGCTCAACGGAAAGGCGTTGGAAGGGTTCCTTGGCCTTCCGCATGGTCCGGCCTCCTTGGAGTCGGCGTTGAAGGGTGGAGCGCGGTATGTTCCAACGGCGCGCCGCCTCGGCTTGGGACACGCCAGATTGGATAAGCCGAATGGCCTCAGACATCCGGAATTCGTAATCGGAAGGCATAACGTAAAAAAAACGCGTTGAAATGCGCCTGTTTTTGTTCGAGTTGGGGTTATTTTGGTGAAGTAGTGCATTTGTTATGTCGGAAATAAAGTGCCCAAAGTCGGGGGGTGCCCAGGGTGGGGTCACGCACTCTAGTATTTGGTACCTGGACGAGTCATGAATGCAAAAGGCGGGCGTATAAACAAAGGCGGCAACCGCTTGGGCGCGGATCCGCTCATGGCGAGGCTGGAGCAGCAGGCCGGACTCCGTGGTCCACGCCAGCTTCGAGGACATCCGCCCCATGCAAATTGACAACCTCTTGGATTTCGAGCAACTCGGCCAGTTCTTTCTCCACAGCCGTCCTGGCAGCTACGGTAGCGGCCATGGCCTCTTGGAGCTGCACTTTAATGCATTCGCGACTCTTTTGGTAGCACCCACTCAATGCCTGGGCAGGGCACATATCGGCGCGCTTCTTGCTCTGGGGAGGTAAAAAGCGGAATAGTATTTCAGGTGTCAAAAATATCCTAGGACATAGAAACGCATCACTTTCGCAGCACCAGCACAGAAAAAGTTTGATAAACTTGATGCGTTCCGACCACGCATGGCGCCGCTCACGTAAATTGATGCTTTTTGACACCATATTGCCCTTCGTGCTTTTTGCAAAGCTCGATTCAATACGTTATTACAGGCGCTGCATATGGCTCAGCCAGGAGCTGCAACTGTCACCAGCATCGATCATTTCTACTAAATCATCAGGTATTTGTTGCGGGGGCGTGGGGCAGTAAGGCTGGACCCCCGGCAACAGAATTTGGGCCAATCAAAGGGAGCGCGCTAATTTGCCATCAACAACCGCCCAATCGGCGCCACGAGCGAAGCTGCGCGCCTTTCCGTGTTTACGGTCTCTTTTATTGCCATTACGGCACGAGGGTGCAAGACAGCCTTGCTTCTGTTCTGCATTTCCATACTCTAACCTTCCATCTGCTGCAGTTCCAGCGCATCATACAATGTCGTACATTCAGCAAAGGTTCACTCAATTCGCACTGCTGGTGGATGAGCTTCAGGTACTTTACGAAGAATACGAAGCAGAGAAACGGGACCGAGATGCGCCATTTCAGCAAAGGCAGAGCGAACTCGAAATAGAGCTTAAAACGCTCAAGCAAGACCGCGAAGCCGCGAGCAAAGAAGTGGAGCAAAAATATAAGCCCAGATTCGACAAGTTGACTTGGTTCATTCCCCAGCCCCAGGTATGTTTGGCATGTGGTGTCCAATCCCGTTCTTTCCGTCGATTTAATTCTGACGTTGGAATGTTGCGTAGCCTGACCAAGCTGCTGAGTCCCCGGCATCTCCCAATGTCGGCCCCGGCGTGCGAGGGGGACGGAACACCGGCGACCGCCTGTCGAACGACGATGGATCGGCCCACGACGACGGGTCGGAAGACGACGATGACGGATCGGGCCACGACGACGACGGATCGGGCCACGACGACGGGTCGGAAAACAATGACGGGTTAGAAGACAACGACGACGGGTCGGATTATAGCGATAGCGAGTCAGAAGACAGCGGCGGCGAGTCCGAAAATAACGACGACGGGCCCGCAGATAACGACAACAGATCGGCGCACAACCATGACGAACCAACAAGTGCGGCATCAATTTCGCCAAGAGCATTTCGAAAGTGCAGGCTTACAGCAAAAGCGAGAAGCGATCTCGAGCGTCCCAACAAGAGGCGTCGAAGAGGAGGGAAAGCAGCCAGCTCCGGCAGTGTGAGAGTGTGCAGAGTGGGGGAGGCGGCGAGCGACAGAACCGAGAAAACGGTCGGTTTTGAGGATGTCCGTGGGAAACACCGTATCGTTTTTTGGCCAGCGGCTTCTCATCACTTTTACATATTATGGTGCAAAGACCACGGCAAGATTTTCAACAGCAAAGATCCTGTCCAAGGAGCTGGCAAACATCTTAGCAAGAGCCATCATAGCATGAGCGGGACACACGAAAATGCCATTAATACGCTTGGCTTCCGCGTGCGAAGCTGCACGCAGGAACAGGTCGACGAGAGCAACCGCGCAGTCGATCAGCTCAACCACGCAGTCGATCGGCCCCGTTAACGCCTTACCAGCGACCCAAAGACCAGCATCCAGCCTATCAGCGGCGAATTCTACCAAGTTTACTGGCACGGCGCGAAAACCCGTTCCGGCACCCGTTCCGGCACCCCATACGTCGCCTTGTGCCTTCCAACTGGCAACTTCGACACAGTGGGCATATCGGGCTCTATTTACGACACGCCCCTGGTGCGTAGCATTCCCAAATGCTACCGCACTCACACGCGAACGAACAAGATCCTAGGGTGGGACAATGACTACCAAGATGGCGGCACAAAGGCTTCCCAGCGTAAATTCCCCTTCCTGTTTTTCACAGGTGACGTTCAAGTACCCCCCGAAGGTGAACTCTCCATCCCCAAAAAAGGGAAGGTGCTTTCGTGGGTAGCCGCAAACGATATCCAACCACTCGACCTCAACGACAGCACCACCAGTGGTTTTCCAGGCCATGCGACTGTGGTGGCGTTCGCGTCCAAGTTGCTCCACCAGCATGGGTCAGCCACCGCTATCAACAATCAGTCGTTTGCAACGGATTCTGGCCCACTTTCTAATGCCGGAAACGACGACGGATTCGGAGATCAAAGCCAGGCGGAGGGCAGCCAAGAAGCCCTAGCGGTGATAGCATCAGCTGGCCTCCTTGCGAGCACTTCTGAACCTAGCAGACGCAGCGCAAATGCCGAGCAGCCAGCAGCTGATACTTTTCGATCCGAGCCAAAGCCAGCACCTTCAGATAGGGCAGATAGCTCCGCGCCGGCAGCCTTCGACATTATCGTACAAAGGCTCTACTCACAACTACTGGACGAGGATGCCGACACCGCCCAAAGCGGTCTGACATCAGTGATACATCTTCCAAACAACTCAGAGGACAGCAAACCCGGCCCCGACAACAGACCCAACTCTGAGAACAGGCCCAGCTTCGGGGACAACAGGCCCAGCTTTGAGGACAACAGGCCCAGCTCCGAGGACAGTAGACCCAATTTCCAAAACAATAGACCCAGGCCCGAGGACAATAGACAAGATATACGCGCCGAGGTAGGAGTCGGCGCTCCACAGTCTATGCCAGTTTCGGACGGGCGGGGGCGCGATTTGGAAGCGGAAAGAGGTAGTTTAAGCTTTATTTTGGGGAAAAGTAACGCTGAAAGATAGCCATTTTTATATGCGAGCGTCGGTAAACATTAATGGGCGGAGATACAGGTTTGGGATCGCGCTGAGCGAACTCCCCATCATATTATATTCCAACGCCTCGCAGTGCCTGGCTGGTGGATGTCCAGACTCGACGGATATATACGCACTTATCCCACTGTAATTGCCATACGGAGCTGCCACCATCTAACAAGCGTTGGCTTAGCAACATTCTTTTACATTATTGGGCCCTATATTTGCCACGTTTTACGCATATAGATAAAGGCAGGCAGTAGATGGTGGGTGGGGAGGTGACTGTCACGGCCAGGGTCGTGGACGGACTGTAGAAGGAACATGTCGATTGGCGCTACGAACGAAGATTCTACTCTGAGGGAAAAAGGGAAGAAAAGGGGATTCTGGTGCTCGGCGTGCGCCTGATGCGTCTTGACGATTGTCCACCGTGTGGGTCCTGACGGTGTGGGTCTGGTCTTGGCTCAGATCGTCACAGTGACGTCGTTATTCGGGAAGTTTCGCAACGGCGTCGTGCCCGTTCCCCGCGGCCCACGACAGCGGCATCCGCCCGTACTTGTCCTTCGAGTCGACGTCGGCCTTGCCTGTGGCGAGCAGATGCTTGACGACGGCCTCGCGCCCGTTCTCCGCGGCCCACGACAGGGGCGTCCGGCCATCTCCATCTTTACTTGCGCGGGTTAAAAGCACCCGCGAAAATCGGCCCTTTGGGGATTTAGCGCGGTCGGGCAATCTGTCGGATTCTGTGCAATCTGTCGGATTTTAGCGACATTTTTACCCATAGAAAATTGGCTGGGAACCTGTGTATTACCGTTTTTCTGCATGACACGCTCAACTGCATGAAGCAGGGTTTGGCTCCCCCGCCAAGCCCCTTACAAATGCAACCTGCCAACGAGTTTATTTTTGCAGATACGTAAAAAATGAAGCTATTCAGGCGAGGGAGAGGTCAACGAAGGCGTCTTTTTCGTCTTGATCACGGCGATCAGCCGCTTCTGACGTAGAACTATCGCTTCCCTCTGTATCTGTGCAGTCAGGCGATGATACTTCGTACTCCTCTGGTGAATATTTGCCTGGCAAAGGAACCTCCGGAGGCAGATCTGCACCGTACTTATTCTTCCAGTAGGCTCGCACAACTTTCCGG